GCTATGCACAGGCTATGTATTGAACATGTCAAAGAAATGAAACCAAACACCTTGTAAACGCTGTTGACTTTGCTTACATGATGAAATATCATACATCTCACAAGTTATTTTGCCAAAAAACGACATGAAACCAAATTCAAGGTTATTTGGGCTAGAAGTGGGTTACACATAGCCGGACTATATCGGGTCTATACTTAACCGAGACGTTGAAATGACGGCTATTGCTTGCTGGGTAGTTACATTACTAGTTAGGTTACTTTTTTTATCCATGAAATTTATGATATCCCAGCATACACACTCCCGATAAATATTTGTTATTAAAGCTTCAACGTTCACAGAACACTTATTTTTAACTTTATTTACTTTACTAGCGCACATTGCTAGTAATGATGTGAACAATTAATCTGTGCAAGTTAATCCGCTGAAAAAAAATGTTGTCTTCGTAATCTTTAATCAAAATCTGAACATTTACTTCCGCTCTGGAATGGCAGTCCTTCTCTGATGATGTCAGTTTGACGGCTTGGGCAGAATATCCTTTTAAACAAACCCCTCCAACCGTTAGATTGCTATGAGTGAGAGACAGAGAGGAGGAGCGCAAACATAAAACCATGCCCTCTGTTGAGAAGGAATGACCAATCAGATCACGGGTTACTGCGTACATCAGTAACTTTCAGTTCCGTTTGAGCCGACTGCACGAGATACCGTATAGGGTTCTCCAGAATACGGACTGAATTTAACTTGCTTGGTTGAAGATGATATGTGTTCAAGTTGTGCGTTAATGACAACATGTAAGTTCATTTATGATTGTCCTTTACTGAGCGTGTCGTATGATGCATAATTAATAAGCTATTGTGAGTTCGTTCGGGAACATAAGTGACGACGCTAAACCCAGCGTCTTGCCAAACCCATAATTCAACATATATTTAATATACTTGGATTCAGTATTCAAAATTAACATAACTGATTGATATTTCAATTGTGTATAGACGTAGATTTTAATGTTGTATATTTCCGTTCTGTAGTTATTCTTGATTATAGGTTCTAGTTAATGGATTGTGTGATGACGCAGTAAATAATTCCATTTATGTGCGTTCTGCGTCATCTAGCGGTAGAAAGTGGTATTACTGCAGATAATTCTTATTTCCAATGGGCAGTTAGTTAGTAGTATAAATGCCAGTTATTATGTTGATGTTTCTAATTGTTGTTTATTATTAATTGTTTCAGACCACACACACACATGCCTACAGTCACCTCACATATCACTACTGTGAAGATTATGCCAAGTAATGCCCTGTGGTCTGGCTGTGCTGCTCATTGTGCTGATCATTTGCTGAACCGTAATTAAAGACTGTTAATTCTCATTCCTGCCTCCTGTGTCCTGACCGACGCACCAGTGCGAATGCAAATACCCTAAACCAGTACAATACAGTCCCAAATAACTCAGTTACAGAATTTGGTTCTTCGAGCCGGATGATTGTGTTTACACTGGACAAGAATGCATGAATACCAGTCTCAAGATGCACGTCCTAAACGTCCAGTCCGTCATCCAGTTTACTTAGAAGATTTTGAAGTCCAGTATCCAAATCAACCTGGAGCTTCTTTGACAGCACAGCAGCTACACAGGCGAGAAGATTACCGGCGTAGTCAAAGAATGATGGCTCACCAGCAGGATTTCAGCCATTATAGTTCAGATGAGGGATCAGGTAGGAGAACACCTGATTCGATAGAAGCAAGGAGCCCACAGACAGAGCCCTGGTATCTCATCAAACACCAGTGGAGTGAGAGAGATGAATATTCTTCACACTCCTTACCTCGGGAATCCAGGGAAAGATTGCACGATCTTGAAAAAGAGAACAGACAGCTTTGGCAATCACAGCAAGCAATGAAGAAGGAAATCAGACAACTGTTAGAAATGCAGAAAGGTATGCAAGAGATGCTAATGAGAAACCAGTCAAATCAAGTTCAATATCTTGGTTTCTATGTTTTTCTCCTTGGTTGATATGTTATTGTTTTGGTATTATTATTATCACGATAATATTGTATGGTCATGTGACCTTTGATCACCTGGAGGTAGGCTTATAAAGTTTGCGATATCAGTGTTGTTCATTTGTCTGATGAAGAGCCTGCGTGCTCGAAACGTCACATATGCTATGCGACAGTCTTTTTTAAAAATAAATTTTTTGATACTTTTGTAGCTTTGGTGTTGCCGACTTTGCATCTAAAATATTATCATGTTTAGGAACCATGACATTTTAGTGAAGGGAGCACATCGTAGTTGATAGTGACCCGTGACTAGGCCCACGGTTCAGCACGCATGTGTTCAGAGGATTAATTGCAAAATTTAATAGAGTAAAAGTTTTATCATTTGTATGTGTTTACAAACTCAATCGATTTTAAAACAGCGCAAAAGAGCAAACAAGAGAACAAACACAGCTTTGACAAAGATTAATCCATATTAATTTATACAGTGAACACACTCAGAAGAATTGGAGAAACTATGGAGGAGTTTCAACATCTGGAAAAGATCCGGGCACTCCAAAACAACATTTCCTCACTAAAGCTC